TGCCTTTAGCGAATCACTCCGTTGCATTGGCAGCGGAGCAGTCGATCTGGGACCTACGGGGCACTCTCCTGAGGAGAGTTCGCGCTGTTGTGAGGTTCGGCTGCTCTGAGATCTTCTTTGACTTCAAGAAGGCACGAGTCCCAACCGCTGGTGATATTTCTTTCTACCTGGACTGTGTCTGCCTGCCTTACGGCAGTTTTCTCCCTTTTCCTTTGAGTTTGACGTCAGTTTGATTTCTCCTACGATGGCGGATGCTTCAGATCGATCAGCAGTTCCTGCATGGGACGGGTCCGCCAGGACATGGCGGAGATACACAAGAGAAGTTGCTTGGTGGGTGACTTCCACCCCGGCCCACAAGCGAAGATATTGCGCCAGTAAGCTGCTGAGCCGTTTGACAGGTCCGGCACGATTGTTGGCCATGTCATGGTCCAGAATGGCATTGGACAATGAGTCGGGCACGAGGACCCTGCTTCAGAGGTTGGCGGCCTCACCTTTAGTCCGCCAGACCTTGCCCAACACGGCTGCTATATGTCAACAATACTTCAGCTTCAAGCGCAATCCTTCGGAAAGCATCGGCAACTTCCTTGTGAGAGAAACCTTGGTCCATGAAGAGTTCGTGGAGGCGATTATCCGGTTGCACGAGGAGAAGATGGGGGTTTCCCAGGAAGCCCGAGACTTCGGACTTCCCCCTGTGGACGAGTCTTCATGGGATACATGGGAAGATGCAGATTGGACGGGTGGCAGCTGGGGTTGGTGGCCCGATGAGGATTACGAGCCCGAAGAGGGGCCACCTCCTGTTGGCGAGCCTCCAGCTGCTGAAGATGTTGCTCCCGATCCCGCAGCTCCCCCTGGACCCTCATCTCCGATGGCAGCTCCAGGATCCTCTCCAAGTCATCGTGGTGAACCTGATCTACCCCGTGGCGGTGACATGCCAGAGACAACGAAGGCTGCTGATGGCCCTCCGGAGGCCATCGATGAGATGTCCATGACGGATTCGTTCATACTCGGCGTTCTACGAGGATGGCGGCTTCTCCAGGCTGCCGGACTTTCGGCAGAAGAAAAACGAGATATCCTCAGTACCACCAAGAATTCTCTCGACTACGAAGTGGTGTCTGCAGCCTTGCAGAGTCTTTGGGATGATCAGCTACTCGGTCACCGCTCCCATGGCGGCCATGGCAACTACCACATGAACTGCGTGGACTCCACGCACGACTTCTCCGAGCAGTACGCGGACACCAATGGCTGGGAAGACGAGTGGTGGCCCGAGGCAATGTATGGTGACCACTACGAGGAGCAATGGGATGATCCCCATGGCTGGTGGGAAGACGAGTGGTCTTCTCCCAACACCGTCCAGGCGGCCACCACAGAGGACATGACACCGGAGGACCAGGAGCGCATGCGTGAGGCACAACAAGCCGAAAGAGTGGCCGAGACCTTGGCAGTGGAAGCCCAGCGCACCTGGGCTGACGCGCAACGCGCCACCCAGGCGATCAGGCGAGATCGTGGATTTGGCGCAGCATCTACCAGCCCTGGTGCGAATGGTACCTGTTTCCAGTGCGGTGGCAATCACTTTGCCCGTGACTGCCCTCAACGACGATCCTTTGGAGGCAAAGGTCATGGTAAAGGCTTTGGCAAGTGCAAGGGTGCCTTCTACATCTCCCCGGAGGAGCTCTATGCCAACTTCGTGCCAAAGGGCAAGGGCAAGCACAAGGGGAAGCGAAATATGTGGATGGAGGCCCAAGGGCTGTGGACTAAGGGAAAGTCCAAAGGCAAGAGCAAGTCCAAGGATCCGTCCAGGTCCGTCAACGCCTACAGCACTGATGTTTTCGTGGGTGGCTTGGAGCTTCGTGAAGGCATGGACCTCAACTCAGCGAACACGGTGGCCGCAAGACCTGAGGTGGGAATGCTCGACTGCGGGGCAACCGCCTCTGCAGGTTTTGAGGCTGTGATCCAATCGTTGGTCACGGCCGTGCTCGCACAAGACCGAGGTGCCCGCATCGAAGTTGACCAAGCCTCTCGCCCGTATTTCAGGTTTGGGAATGGGAAGTGGGGCCGTGCTCTATGCCGAGTGTCTTTGCAGAGTTCAATATCTGGCCAGACGCGATCCTTTGCCCTGTACATGCTCCCAAACCCCTCTGAGTACTATCAATCACAGTTTGACCGCAGTGCCTTAGTTCCGATTCTCATTGGCATGGATTTTCTGGGACCCGAAGGAGTCGGCATGATGATAGACTTTGCGTCAGGTCTGGCTATGCAAACCAAGGAAACCAATCCTGAGATCTTCAAACTGGATGTCAATGCAAAGGGCCACTATGTTTTGGACATTGTGCAACATCTAACTAGAGGCCATCGTTGTGATGAAGGGCATGCTCTTGTGATAGTCCGAGGCTCCCAATCCGAATCCCACTCTCCTTTGTCACATCAGATGCTTGAGCTGTGGACTGCCTGGATTGATCTGACTGTCAGTGAGAGTGACATGCATGCCCGCGATCTTGAGTTAGCGCGCAACCGCATGTGGCAGTTGTACCGAGCTGGACAAGCCTCTTGCTCTTCCACAGCTTCTTCAGCTCAGATGTTGAGTCGTCGCGACTCCATTGCCCCCTCAACTTCGCCCTCGCGTTCTAATCCACATGGCCTCGGCTTCGTCGGCGCCAACGGTGGACCCCGAGATCGAGCAGATCCTCGTGGCCTCGGCAAAGGCCAAATCTCGCGCCAAGGCCCGACCACGGTCCTTGGACAAGACCCGGATGATGAAGGCCGACCCTCGAGATCCACGGACCCAGAAAGAACAGTGGCCATGTTTCGGGAATCATGTCCCAGCACCGGCGCAGAGCAATGCCCACGGACAGTGGATCCACTGCTGTCACTGCGACCTCCGGCTCCTCTACATCCCCCGAAAAGGGTCACCTTCAACGACAACGGCAGTGGTCAATGCTCCAATGGTGAGCAGGATGCTTCGCGAACTACAACCTCTACTCGGTCAGGTGAAGCCTACTGCAAAGATCTGCCACCACATGATGAACAAGATCACGGCCGAGACGGTGCTCCAGAAGTCCATTCAGGACCTCCTCGGGAACCCCTACTCCACGGGAACAACACCTCCGATGGCAACTACCAACGGAGCGACGATGGACAACGACGAGGAGTTGGTGAAAGCCTACGAGGAAGCGGTTCTACAGCCACAGTGAAGACTCCACTTGTCCGAGCTCAGGTTCCTCTCTACATGGGAAAGAAGCTGATGGCCATGGCTTCAATGATGACGGCGGCTACGACATCCCTGCTGGTGGGACTCCAATTGGATGGTCGAGATGGAGTTTGGGAGATTTCGAGCTCTCCCCACAGCTGGCTCAGCATGTCAGCTGACCAACACGGACTCCAACCACGCACCATCAACCTGGCGAACGGCTACGACCTCTACGACAAGAACACCTGGCAATGTCTTCGAGAACTCCGTGCCCGTCATCAACCTCAACGGTTATGGTTCTCATTGCCCTTCTCCAAGTGGTGTCCTTGGAATGCCGCGAACTATAACTCCCCAGAGAAGCGAGTGAAACTGGAGACAGCCCGACGACGGGAACGTCGTCTACTCTGGGAAGTGAATTCCTTCGTGAAAGAGGCCTTAGAAGCTGATCCCAATGTCCTCGTCTACGTCGAGTGGCCACATCCAAGTGGAGCGTGGCGACAACATCCAATGGTGGACTTGGCTACTCACCTTGAAGATCAAGGAGTTCCTTGGCAAACATGTCGAATTGATGGGTGCGCCTACGGCATGCGCGATTCATCAACGGGCCAATTCATCAAGAAGCCATGGACCGTCAAGACCAACGACGAGCAGTTCCACCGGAACTACCGCGCCAAAGTATGCCCTGGCAATCATGGGTTCCACCAAGAGCAGATCACTTCGAGTGAAGAAACCTACTACCCTTGGAAAATGGTGCAATCTATTACCCGCCACTGGTGTAACCAGCTTGCTCCCCAAAGGCACCTTCATCTACTACACCGACGTGACGATCTTCCATCTCTTGAGGTCGAGGAGAATTTCAACATACAAGTAGAAGACAATGAAGAGATGCCCGAGGAGTGGCAGGATGATGGAGTGGATACCGAGGATAGTAATGTCCTGGTGAACTTTGTGGAATCCCAACGACTGCTGGTGGAGTCCATGGCCCGAGAAGCTCGACTACGGCAGGACTTTTCAATGGATGCCTGCGAGACTCTGTTGTTGGAATTGTCCCAGTTCCTGGGTTTTCATCAAAGCCAACGCCATCGGTGGGAGGATGGCAAACAGCTTCAACACGTGGTCTTTGGTGGCTACTCTCACGGCGGCTTTGGTGGCGTGACAAAGGCTTCCGCGAAGTTTGGTGAGGTGACCAGATACCTCAATCACTACTTCGAGCATCACCTACCTCAACATTCATGGACGAGTATTATGGTGACCTTCAATGGCCGAGCTCTTCCACATCGTGATCACCACAACCTTCCCAACACAACGAACGCCCTTCACTGCTTGGGAAACTTTACTGGCGGTGAGTTGTGGGTTGGTCAGAATCGACCTGGCTGCTCAGTGGTCCGAAGGAGAACACCAGATGGTCGTCTACAACAGGGTTGTGTACTACCTGTGCGGAGGCGATTCGCCCTATTCCAGCCTGAGATTCTCCACGCTACACAACCTTGGCAAGGCTACCGGATTGCCTTGTCCGTGTATACCGCCAGGATGCTTCCCAACTTCAACGAGGAGACCCTTCAACAGCTTCGCTCCTTGAGATTCCCTTTCAAGATTCCTTCAGCACTTTTGGTGTCCTTCCCAACGGAGTTGGTCACCGAGGAAGCGTCCTCTCCAGTGGATCCTGAGACAGAAGTACCCGAGGCGGAGCTCTCCCGATGGGAAGCTCAAGTGGCCAAGTTTCATCGTGCAGCGGGTCACCCGCAACTTAGCCAAGATCATCAGGGACGCTGGACATGCTGAATGGAAGGTGAAAGTGGCGTTGAATCACAAATGTCCAGCTTGTATGAGCCTTCGTCCAGGCGGCACAAGCTCAGGCCAGGTGCCCCCTGCTTCTACTCAAGGCTTGTATGCGGCTTGGGAAGCAGTTGGCGTGGACTCTGGTGAGTGGATACCCCCTGGTTCCAAGGTCAAGGTGAAGTTCCTTCTGTTCATGGACATGGCGACCAAACTTCGGATTGTGAAACCCTTGTTCACATATGATTTTCTTCAGATGAGGGCTGAATCAGGAGATGATCTGATCAAGGGTCTGTCCGAACGATGGTTGGGAATTTTCCCAAAGCCCAAGATATTGATTCTTGATTCGGCTAAGAGCTTTGTGTCCGAATCGGTTCATGAGTTCGCCAATTCCATGAACATCATGCTGTCATTTGTGGCTGAAAAGGAAGCGTGGGCCAATGGGATCATCGAGGCGGGTGTCCAGGACTTGAAAATGACGGCCTCGGCAATCCACTTGGAGGCCATGGATCAGGACCCTTTTGTCACCTTGTATCTCAGCACCTCAGCGCTGAACTCCACCGAATATGTGGCTGGCTACTCCTCCTTCCAATGGGCCTACGGCAAGGAGTACAACTTGAACGACGAAGATGTTCGGACTCTGACGGCCTCAGAGTTCAAAGGCGAGTACTCCAAACTGGTTTCCCTACGGGAAAGCGCAGAAGCGGTGGCCAAGAAAACTCGTGCACGACGAGTCCTTTCCAAGCTTGGGAACACAACAGTGCGTCAACCACTACGATCATTTCATCCGATGCAGTTGGTGAAGGTTTGGAGAAAAGTTTGGCCCCGCGAGCAGCATCAGGGACCGCGAGGTGGCCTGAAGAAAGCTGGACGCCCTCATTGGGTGGGTCCCGGCCGAGTGGTGTTCAACGAGGTCCTACCCCATCAAGAAGCCCATGATGATCGTCGACATATCGTGTGGGTTCTCGTGGGAACTCAACTTCTCAGGTGTTCGGCACATTCGGTCAGATTGCTGACGGAAACGGAGCGGCTACAGTTTGAGTTGGTCAATCAGGAGAATCCTTCGGAGTGGAAGTCATTGGCGGACCTACTGCCAAAACGGGAGTACTACGACCTCACAGACCAGGTGCCCCATCCGGACGAAGTGGAACAACCTGATCTACCACGACAGCCCGATTCTTCCACCCTTGCACCACCAACACGACGGGTGTCCAGAAAGACAACGGTGACACTACGAGATGACGCCTCAGAAGCTTCAAGAGCTACGCCCTCGACATCTAGTGCAAACCCCACGGGATCCAGTCCATCGGCATCTAGTGCAAACCCCACGGGATCCAGTCCATCGGCATCTAGTGCAAACCCCTTGGGATCCAGTCCAGTCGTGTCTCAGTCTACTGACGACGGACTTCACAGACCGATATCACTGGTTCCATCTGTCCGTCTACCAGAAGAAGCCGTCAATGATTACGATGAGTCCACAGTGAAGCGAGCACGTCACTTGGACAATTGGGTTGAAGTTCTACATGTGGAAGCTGCACGCGAGGCACAGTTTGATGTCTACCATGCCATGGAGATGACCGAAGATTTCCTGATGGTCTCCTTTGCAGTACCGGCCCCAACATCAAATCGTCAGCGACGTCTTCTCCACAACAACCCCAATGCATATCTGGTCAGAAAGATGAAAGACGCAGAGGTGGTCCTTACTCGTCTACCTGCCTCCGAGAGAGCATTGTTCACCCGTGCTAAATCCAAGGAAGTGGACTCCTTCTTGAAGAATGAGGCCGTGAGGAAGTGTTTGGACAACGAAGAGATCCGCAAGGCCTACGATACGCAGCGGATTGTTCGTGCTCATTGGGTGTTGACCTGGAAACTCACTCCTGCGGAGGACTTGGAAGAAGCTAAACAGGATGCTCAGACCAACCCCTCGACGGTGTTCACGTCGGATGGATCAAAGAAAGCGAAGGCTCGCATCGTTCTTCTTGGTTTTGAACATCCCAACCTCCTTGACCACAGTTTCAAGACCTCGAGCCCCGTTCAATCCACACTGGGCCGCAACATGCTGTATGCCATGGCAGCTCACCACCAGTGGCCTTTGGAAGGTTTGGACCTGGCTACGGCTTTCCTGCAAACCCAAGCAACCGAAGCCGACCAGGAGCTCTGGACTTCAGGAGTTCAAGAACTTCGTGATGCCCTTGGTGTGGGATCCGAGCTGATTATGCGCATCCTTCGCAACATCTACGGCAGCACTACAGCGCCGCGTGGTTTGTGGCTGGATCTGCACAAGACTTTGACCAGCCTCGGCGCTCATCCAGTGATGGGTGAAAGGTGTCTGTGGGTTTGGCCATCCAAAACCGAGAAGGATGGCGATCATCCAAAATCCATTGGTGCGATGGGTGGTCATGTGGATGACTTTCACAGGATTGGCGATGACTCTCCTGAGTGGCGAGCCATCAAGGACCAAGTCAATACAGCCTACAAATGGGGAATGACAAAGACACGTGCCTACCGCCATGCTGGCACGGACGTGGAGACCAAGACGGATGAGCGTGGCAACGACTTCATTGAGGTGAACCAGGACTACTACATCGAGGCCATACCCGACCTGGACATTTCCCCTGATCGCCTACGATTTGAAGGTTCCCTCGACAGAGATGATGTGAATGCCTGTCGTGGAGCTCTGGGAGCTTTACAATGGGTAGCTACGCAGAGCCAACCTCTACTATGTGCTCGCTGCAGCCTGCTCACCTCAGAGCTTGCGAGTACACCTACTATGGAGGTGGCACGAGAGATCCAATCTCTCATCGGAGAGGTCCGAGCGAATCCCACAAGGCTGGTGTTTCAACGCTTTCCAGACGCTGAACATTGGAGCGACATCATCTTCATCAGCATGGGTGACCAGGCCCACAACAACCGAGCCCGAGGCGACTCGACCGGAGGCCTTGTCACTTTGATGGCTGGACCAGGGTGCCTGGATGGCCGCATCGCCAAGATGTCCCTACTGTCCTGGCGTACATGGAAGCTCAAACGCAAAGCCATCTCCAGCAATGACGCGGAGGTTCAGGCTATGCTGGAAGCAGAAGATCAGAACTTCAGGACACGTTTGATATGGAGCGAGCTACATTGTGCAGGCGACCATGATCCCGGACTACGACAGCGCCGTGATCTCGTGAGTGTGATTGAACGTCAGGTACTGAAGCTCAGAGGAATTTTATGTACAGACTCCAAGGGAGGCTACGACGCAGTGGAAGTGAATGAGAGCCCTCTTCTTGGTTTGAGCAACACTCGTGCTGCTCTTCAGGCTTTTCAGCTCCGGGGCAACCTCGAGCGTGCCGCCGGAAATCTCCGCTGGGTTGCCAGCGACTATGACTTGGCTGACGCCTTGACTAAGAAAAGAGCTGACTGTCGTGTAGGTCTCCTTCGATTTCTTCAAACCGGCTTGTGGAGCATCAAATATGATCCACAGTTTCAATCTTCGAAGAAGAACAAGAAAGCTGGAAAGTCAGCAGTCGGAGACATCGATGAATTCCTAGGGAACGACGGTTCTCCAGAGTGGGCAACAGCAAGTATCGCTGACCTTCTTTGGGGTTGGTGCAACAGATTAGGTCCGTGAGTGCTTGATCAGCGATCTTACTGCTGCCTCCAGGCTCTACCAAGAGGGGCCCCTTTTTGTAGTTCATAGTGCGTGAAGCCTCGAAGCCATTACGGCCGGAGCGTGGAGCTCCCTGCAAAATCAGAACTGTGTGTTCTTCTGCAAGCTGTGACTTCGATAACCTGTGAGCCCAATCAGTCTGCCTTTAGCGAATCACTCCGTTGCAGTTTGCTAGGGTTTTGGGTTTTGGGT